CTCTCAGGCCTTTGAATATTTTATGCTTGCTCTCGTTGTTTAGTTTGCCGGACTATGAGTTGTACCCTGAAATAGCATCGATTTACGAAGGCCGGTTTAAAATATTCATACGAAGATGTATCTTATCATTAAGAGATACAAGTGATAAAATTTATTATACATATATTAATATGTATATGGAAGGTTATTTTCCTAGCTATTCGACATGATAATATATTTTTAGTATTCTGTGTTTGATACATATTATGTTACCCTTAGGATGAAAAATTATATTTCACTTACACGACCCCAAAATGTCGTCGTGTTATTATTTATTACAGCCATTATATTGGTCGCATTGAAAGTTCCCGCTGTGACGGTGCAATCGCATTTAGGTACCTCTTTTTCTTCAAAATAAGGAAATATATAAAAGAAGGGTTCATATTGTGAGGTCACATAACGAATAGATTACTTTCGTGGTTATTTAGCAATTTTACTTTACTCAGTACAGGTAATTGAAGAATGAGAACTACATTTTAGTTAGTGTACTGCTTCCATATTTTATATGTTTTAAAACAATGTTTTGGAGTATAAATGCAGAAGAACAAAATTCTTTTAAGCGACATATTTACAACAATTCAATTCCCCATTTGTCTGTAAAGAACATTATATTTAAATATAAAACTTATACAATTTAAATTTTATAATATTTTTTACCTTTATATATAATTCAAAAAACTTGTTCACTGATTTGTTGAATTCGTGTTGAATAACCGCTGATTAAAACACGAAATTTAAAAGATACAATATTTTTATAACGAAGATTTTCCAAGACAGTACTTGATTTGCAGTGGCAGGATAAATTAATTATTATCTATACATCATCTAAATATCAAGGTAAGCCAAACTTTTCTAAATGTTTCAGTTATACATACATTTTATAGTAGGTACGAGGTTATTAAGAAAATCAGAATATTTAAGGATTTCTTTATATATTGTACCTTTCATTGTACAAAGAGTCTCTTATTTTTTAATAGTAAATACTGTTATAATCTACACAGTTGTCACATATTTGTTTTGCTTTAGAATTACGATTATTAAATAGCGTCAAAGTCAAAATTTTGCGTACTTGTTGCTAATTTTACGGAGTAAATTGAAGAATTCAAAGCTGAAAACATATATATGTGTGTGTGTGTGTGTATTTCCAACTAACGGCACTTAATAATCATACAATATTAATACAAAAGGGTCGGATAATTTCATATTAAATGTTTAAAAGCCAGTGCTATTTATGAGTTACGTTATATTAAAAGTTCATTAAATATTTTCAGATAAATAATCTTATATTAAAGTTTTATCAAACACGTTTTGTCTCTCCACACACAATTATTTCTGCATCACAGTACGATAGCTAGAAAGTTATTAGATTACTAACCATTCAATTTGAACGTACTTCCTCTATGTTACAGATGTACGATAAATCCTAAATCCTATGTATCGCTTTGATGATTTAGTCGTCTCGAATAACCGGATTATGGAAACCAAGACGCCTGATTGACATGGATGAACAACGATATACAGGTTACATATTCCTAATAATAGAATTACAAACTGCCACTAGTATGACAAGGAAATTCACAACGAAAAAAATTAACTAAATATTCAAAACTTCAAAAATAGAATACAATTTGTAATTACTGTTTCTTTTCAAATTCCTACGAAAATATCAAAATAAATTTTAGACGTATTAAGCGAACGGCTTAGAAATTTTGCAAATCCAATCTAATCAAATAATCTAATATCAGTTAGATAGATATTGAAGCCAACATTGCATAACTTTGTCAAAGGCACAAACAAGCTTACTGGCATCTCACTATGGCACTAATCTTATGACTTGATAATTAATTATAATTATGTTAAGTCATGCTCTATGAGGATGTAGGCTTAATATTGTTAAGAATTGTGAAAATCTAGCTTAAGTATATGAAATTAAGTGATTACGATTCAGCGTCTTTTATTCACTGGCTATGGCATGATTAAGGCCCTTTATCCCTCAAGGATTATGACTTCTTGGTTCATTTGTGAGGATATTTTATTTAGGTTAAGTTATTTTAAGATATTTTCCTTATTTTATATAAAATATTTGGTACCTAGATCATAAATGATAAGATTTATATTTAAGGACGAGAGTCAGTAAAATTGTTAAAGATTTCATTACAGACATTATCCAGACTGATTGAAAGATAAATTGAAAATAAATTAATACTTTTGTATTATAATATAAACCAGTATAAAAGTATTTGTTCCTAAACAGATATAATATAAATAAAGTAAGCCCTCTTTCGTGTTATTGTTAATTAAAACAAGAACATTCAAAGGGACCGTCATAAATTTAAACTAACACCAACTGCTTAAAATTACTTGGTTTTACAAATCCAAATAAATGGACCCGATACCATTTAATGTTCTTGGTTGAAATGCTTATCCCGTAATTTATGTATTTTAAAATGTTAATTTTCATCATTTTCAAACTGTTCCCCTATATAATAAAATATAAAAAAAAAATTCACACTACAAGACGAAAAGTTATTTTTCCATCATCATCAGAATTGATCATAAATAAAAAAACTAGTTTTAATTATTTGGTCATAATAGACTTGAAGAAGGCTATTTGTAATATAAAAGACTCGATAAAATATTATATCATATAAAAATATTATTATTTCTTACAAAAATAATAATATTTCACAAGTTGCACGACGTTAAGCAAACGTCAGTATGTTTTATTTATGTTACAGCTCTGAAATGCGAAATGGTATGAATAAGTATCGATGGACAAACGCAAATCGTTTGTCATACTTTATATACGCTATTATAACATTGTCTAAGGATTGGTTTGTTACAATACAGTCGTATAATGACTACACATATATATTATACATTTATATTCAGTTCGTGTTAAAAATTTAGTGTAGCTATCATTAGTTTTAACCTCTGAAGCAGAAGCTAGATGAAACATTCGTGACGTACTCAAAAATCTCAATAAATCTTTCTAACAAGATTTATTTGACAATCTGAAACTCAAATTCGTGAAATCAATATCTCCTTCCGACTATAGTAACGTCTGAAAGAATTCCGATACTTTAATTAGTGTATGTTGTGAGTGAATATAAATTGATCTATATCACTGGCTATTTAGTTATCACATTTCGACTTTTAAATCCGCATCTTAATTAACTATCATGAAAGCTTTGTAAATACATATATCATGACTTAAAATAAATATATGATGGAAAAAATGTAAAGGGTTGGCCTAATATGTACAAATAGGATTGAAACAAGCAAATAATACGTTTTAGCTCACATTAACAAAAAATTAATGACAGTATCGAAAATATAACGTATTAAGATTGTAAGTAATAATATTGGATTTATTGATTTTTTACGTTGTTTGAAACAACCGACGATAAATTGTTTTTTAGCAATTTGATGTATTCAGGTAATATTTGCTATATTTGAAGCCTGTAAAGCCTAGTTCAGGAACAATTATAATAGGAGTATCAGATTTCGTACAATTATGGGAAACATACAGATAAAACTCTGTGTAAATACAAGTGTAAAATTTTACAATAGATGACAAAGAGTCTTATAGCAAGATTAAAATATATGTATTTAAAAAGATTACCTAAGAATAATCAAATAAAAGTTATCACCACCAAATTATATTAAGTTAATATTATTTTCTTAAGTAACATTGTTTAATGACAGAAATAAGTCTGTACTATAAAAAAAACATTTTAATTAATATATAATATATTTTTATTTATAAAACGTCGAAGAAACGGATAGACTATATTAAATTACTCCACTCTGTTTCGGTAAACCTCAATTTTAATCTCATTTTAACATTATACCATCCTGGCACATAATGGCAAAAATACCAAACTCTTTGTTTATCGTATAACTCTACTCGGAACAAATTGGAAATTTAAACACAGGCCCTAATCCTGTCTAGGCATGGCTTCAATTACATCGATCCTAAACACACACAAAACTCCACATCCCAAACATATATTTAGATTAAAATTTGAAGGATTGCAAAAATAACAACGTGGCTATACTCGTATATAAAATTTATATTGTAAAATTGACGTAAAAATAATTAATTAATTATTTAACAATAATTGATTTTAATCTCTTTAAATCATTAATCAAACGACATAAAGAGTAAGATCTAATAATTTATAAAAGGCTCAATAGAAGTGTAATTCTAATAATATATATACAATTTTATATATATAACTTGGTTTGGTGTTGTCAAAAAATATATTATGGCACCCACAAAAATGTATATTGCGAGCTTTGTGTGAAAAAATAGATGGGTAGGGATTTCCGAAAGCTTAACCCAAAAAAGGGTAAGAAAGGTATTGAAACAATAGAAGAATACTGTCGAATCATAAAGAAAACACAATATAGGAAAATACATATATGTAGAACAACAATATTAAAATGAAAATAGGTCAAATCGAATAAAATCAAGAGAGCAAAATAATGCACTTCAATGTTAGTCAGTAAAATCGATTAGAACGCAGAGCGCTAAAGCAATCTGTTTGAGATACAAATGACCGCTATAAATACAGATTGAACGTGAAAGCGTTCTCTTGTATCGCGCTCATTGGATTTGCGGGGCAGATTTCAAATTTTGTTTTGATATTCATATTGAGCCCTAACTAGAAACCAATACTTACTCGACCACTATTAATCGAAATTCGTAATCCACAGCTTTGACTAGTTTCAATAAAACAAAAACATTAGTTTAAGAAATTTACTTTTCAAACATAAAAGTAATACTTATCAACAATAAACCCATTGTTGTCTGTATTCACACAAGCATAAACAGCATAAAATTTTAATTTTATGATTTATTTTCCTAGCGATAGGTAAGTGCCGATGTCGGCTCGTAAAAAGACGATAAAATAAATTAAATTCAGTTTGCGTTCATATTTAAAAATTCTACAGCAATGGCAAAAGCAAACATGGTGTGGACTGCTTACATGTTTGGTGAGTAAAAAAACTCAAATAAATATACTGTTAAAGTGAAATATATTCAATTTTTAACTTTCTAATACGCCTTTGATTTTAGTGAGCTGTTTTTTAATTTCAAACGCTTACCGGTTGCCCGTGCAAGTATACGAAATAAGAAAGACTAGAGATAGAGATCCCAGGGTTGATATACAATATTATGACCCAGACTTAGAGAGAATCGGTATACCTAATAACAATCAGAGGAATATTGACGAATTAGCAAACTATATTATCGAGAGCTTGAAGCGTGTGCCTAAGAATTACGAAGATACCAGAAGTGTCGAAGAAGATGGTGTGTTTGTAGATGAAACGAGAAGTTTGCCTGTTGTTATAGTTCCTAATGACAGAATAGTTTATCGCAAGTAAGTTTTCTTTAACTTTTATTAACAAAATCAAACGGAACTAACGTAAAGATATATTTATTTTATTCCATGTCATATTTTTTCAGAAAACCTACAGACTACAGGGTTCTTCATAACCTTTTACACTCTGCTCTCCGAACAAATGGTATATTTTAATATTTTGTATTAATAATTCTTGAAATCATTATAGTTTTGAAGAAAAATTAATCTGAAAATTTATAAAATTAGCTATTTATATCTTTTATATGTTTATTGACACCTCAGTTTGCCAAATGTATTTATGATAAAAAAAATATTCTTAGAAGAGTGAAGTGAAGTCAATGAAGCAAAAACTGAGAGACAAAAAAAACTGAAATGGCAGTCGAAACAATAGTTTCGTACAATACATGTGGTTATAATAGTCAACATTAAATACAATTTCAGATGCTGAAGACAGAACGGCAGCACCACGACACCGTGGTACCTATGATAAAGATGAATACTAAAGATACTACCAATATTACTACTTAATTTGAATGAAATTATCTTATGATTTATGCAAGAAACCAAATTAATGAATTAGGAAAAAAGCTAAATAAAAATTCATTAATAATTAATCTGATTTCTTTAAAGTATTTGTAATTTATGAGTATATATTATAAATAACACATATTCATATATATTTTTCTCATTATAAAAGTATTGAAAGCAAAATCTCTTCCAAGTCAAACTGTAAGCTGATGTCTTAACAAGAAATAACCTCAGAACATGTCACGACTTATTCGACAAAATTCAATATGAAACCAATAGTCAGCGACACGAGCTCTGCACAAAGCTAGGTGACAAATACCGGGAACAACAATCCCGGGCAATCCCGGTATCGCTGTGGTGCTTATTCAATTAGCGGAATTGTATCCCGTATTTACTTTATGCTTATATAGAAAATAATACATATATATTTGTTACGAAGGAATAAAATTATAAATATATGTACATATAATTTTAAATTTTGATTTTTAATTTCAGTGTTGCCGATTATTTATATATTAGAAATATATTACATTTTTTATCACATTTCACTATGTATCATAATTTTCACATCGAGGCCTAACTATATTCTTAATTTCTCTATGTTGATACATAAATCAATAATATGGTTTGTCAAAAACCTTTGAGTGTTAACTCATTCATATAAAGTTAAAATTATCTCTCTATGTATAATGGTGGTATAATGCTTTCTTTGTTTAGGTATGGAAAAAGAGATAGCGAAATAAAAAACATTGTCTGTTATATATTTTTCTTCTGATTGAGACTTGTCAATCAGATTATGTGATAATCATTTGTTATATGATTTATCATCTAAAGCGATAATAACTGTTTTTGTACCAAAAAAAAATTGAAATTTTTTCCATAATCTTCCCGTCTAACTTATTTAATGTATCAAGAAATACTTCTACATTAAATTACAATAACTACCTTATATTTTGTTAACTTTTAAATGGAAGTCAAAAGAAGACATTAAGTATATTTTTAATGTAAATTTTCTTCAATAAAACTAATTAGGTCTGGAAATCTTGTGATTACTTTCAAGGTAAGAATCAACTTATGTATACATATCGACGCACCATCTTGAAAAGACAAATTGATGAAGAATAAAGAATTGAATCAGTATTCATAGAGAGCTTCAGTCCATTTAAACTTTATTAAAATGTCCAATCTAATCCATGATATTTAATACCCTATGCTAATCAAAAGCGGACTGTAAAATCAATGACAGCGGGTTCGCTCAGTTCGTTAGCCGGCTAATGAAATCGGATCCCGTACGTGACCGGCGGTCCGTATTGTCTCTTTGTTTCCTTTCTATTGCTTTTGTGTTGAGACAGACGAATTGAATGAAACCAATGCCAGCTAATATTAGTAAAAATGTTTTATTTACCGCTCGTGAAAAGCTTACTTTATAAGTTTGTTGCTTTGAAGGTATTAACTTAGTTTTATTACGTCTGCACTCGGTTTAGTGTTTATTACGAAGCGTAATTCGTTTTTTTACACATCCGTGAACATAAATTGAATTTGTTGCTGGATTTTTTTATTATTGAAATATTGCTTATGTTATTTCTATCAGTAACTTCATCCTCAAAACATAGCATGAAATGAATATCAATGAAGTTTTAATATTTTTTATATCTACTTTCATAATATTCGACCAAAACCATCCGAAATTTTCATAGTTAAATTAAATTCTGCAAACTTCGTAATAAATGAAATCGACGATGCATTATGAATATAGTATTTGAAAACCGAACTACAAACTGAGTTTAGTAAAATACCAGCCATAACATTCATAACTCAATTTTGAATTACGGATAGTTTTAATGAGAAATTTATCTCGCTAAAACATTATGTAACTAGTCGGTAGGTAGTCGATTTGAATTTTATTTTATATACGATATTACGTACACAAATATAGTATTAGGTATAGGGCCTTTTGATAAATTGTATGGACATTAAATATATGAAATAACTTCAGTAACATTAATAACATATTCAAGTCATATCGGAATAACGTTAATTAATGGGCAGACCATGCGTTTAGAATAGTCCATCCAATTAGCCAATGAAATACGCGTATTTGTAGATTAAGGCGACGTGGATATACGGTGTAACGAACTGTGTTATGATGGTTAAACTAACATTGCAAATATGTTTTGTAACATATATATGACGAGAGTCGGGAAATGGGGATATTTCTTATATTGGTGATGCTAGTATGAAAAATACTAAAGCGGTGTTGAGAAAACAGAACGTACGAAGGTACGATATCCTTATCAAAAGTTTCATCGACAAACTTAAAACGGAGCGTTTTCAGTTTTTTCGTTAATAAACAATGTAGATCGCATACTGTGTGTGTGAGATTTATGAATGAGAAACTAGAAAAGTAATTTAGTTTAACGATGCAAAACTTGTGGTTACAGTACTGAGCGCTGCATTGAACGAAGACTCGTTCAGAAGCGCTATGCAGCAGATCAAATCAGTGTTTCGTTGTTACCAGGCGCGCCTCACTAACCTCTTCTGTTAATGATGGGTCTGCCCCGAGTTATAAGCGATTGTTTGTTTCTTTATATTAACTATATTTCATAGAATTAATATAAAAGTAAGTTTTTTGAGAGCATAATAATAATACATAAAGAGACGTCTTGTACATTATAATCTTTCAAATGTAACCAGCTACCATTCGAGTAAGTTAGCTTCACAACCCGTATCGTAAAAAAACAAATTAATCCTAAACAAAAAGTTTAGTTTTCAATTCACAAGTTCGATTGAGACCATTTGTCTCTTTACGAAAATACGGAAAACAAAACAAGAACCATTTGCCCATGTACGAGTAAATAGTAAGTAAAATTTTTTAAGGAAAAAATTAAATTCAAAAAAAATACAATGTGTTATAATTTATGTCTCGTTTATCTGAATGACTTTTGTTACGATAGTTTTATATGAATTTAATTAAACTTGATTTTAATTATAGACCTTGGATGCAAATAGTTTCTTGTCATATTTTGCTGTCAGATACACAATCTTAGAACATTATATAGAAAGGTTATGCTACAACTTATAATATTCATTTTTAATGTCAGGTTATTTTCAGTGTTTTTAGTATTACGATTTTCTTTGTACCACAATTCTATTGCATAGATAAGCAAGCTAAGACACCTCAAGCTCTTGCTATCAGTAGTTTGATGTACCAACAAAGACAATTAAAATGTAAGTGCTTTTGAGACCGACGACGTCTTATATTAGATTTTAATTTTGTCCTTATCCTCGTCTAAGGTAATAATGTGAGCAATAAATTCTTAATTACTGTTCAAAATGTATATATTTTAACATTTACTTAAGTTTATTATCAGTTACAGTTCTTTTGTAAAATAATAAGCCAATTCATTAAGGCAAAATTTATATTTAAAAGCGCAATCAACGAAATATACCAATTAAAGTGTCATATAAAATAGCAATTACTACTTACCTGAAAACGAGACAGTCGTGAATAATGACCCATAGTTCCGTAAAATGTCCCATCATTCTCTTAAAATGGCCCCAATATTCTCTATACTGCCTACGAGCACGCATGACTAATGCGAAAAACAATAAAAATGAACCTTAATTCTGTAGTGCAGTGGTCGAAAGTTGATTGCAGCAATTGTAAATTAGAAAAAAAATTGCCAAGTAGTGTTCGCAAATCACACCCAGCGGGTGTCAGGGTGGGTTATCAATCTTAAACGGGATGAAACCCGTTTTACCGTTTATTTATGTCTGGCCGATAGTTTTTCGAAAATGAAAAAGATAAGGGAAAGCCCCTATCATGTTATCAATTTCATTGATGTGATTGCTTAAAGTTGTAAATTATGAAGATCAATGGAAATGTTCTATTCCCAACAGTACTTTTTCAAAGTACGAATAACATTTTCGTCAAATAAAACAGAACTAAACTTTCGAATAAACGTTTTCAAAATTCACATTTACTTCAGAGCCAAGTTTTGACTATTTTAAAGTAACCATGATAAGATATCTTTTATATTTTAATATATAATTTGTTTAAACGTGCAGTATTCAAAGTCTTTGAAAGCTTTGGTCAAATTATGGTTATTTTAATAATTCATAATAAATTTTAATTATTTTATTATATTCGATTCTAAAACAAATTGTTGACAACTTTTTACTCTTTCTGATAGTGTATTATTTCATAAACTTCCCAAATAAAAGAAAGTTTCGCATATTCAAACGAAATTGCTTTTACTAAAGTCTTGATTCTAAGTAGCGATTAGAACATGAAAAAGAAGATTTTCATCAAATGATGCACATTTCCGTAAATCTATCTTATCAAGGATTCCGAATTGGGGATTCAATGTGAAGGTTTTTGCCGCTTCTTTATTCCAATAAATGGCATTCTTTTGGAACTTATATTATTACACCTATATTATTATTTTGAGTTACCCAATACTATGATGTGTTTATACAGAGACTATAAATAAAATTTTGGTTTTGTAGGACTACTAGCTTAAAAAGTATAGAACATTCCAGAAAGTTGAGAAATAAATTGAAGTCAAAGAGCTTTTCAATCAAGGGTGAAACTGTGTGAATACACCAAAGTCAAATGGCTTGGAAGCCTAGCGTTTTATAAGCGAGCGCAGTGGCGAGTTCAGTCATTTGGAAAACCACTTGCTTCGAGTGCATGCCCAAATAAATATTCTCGGTACTTGTTCGGCTTCTACGTGCCACTTTTTGGGATCAAAGTAAATGTAACATATTTCCAGTCTCTCATCTTTGGGGAATGGTTTCTTGTGCATGTTGCATTATTTGTTGGCATGGCTAATCTAAAGACGGTATAAATTTGTGTCCGCAATTTATAGTAACAATGATTTTATGTAAGCAACTGTATCTATTTAGTTTTTTAAAGATTTCTTTCTGAAATTTTTAATTTGAAAATATTTAACATTTACTACAGAAATTTTCT